TCTCACCCCCCGAGATGCGGCCCCCACCTCGTCGCCGCAAGCGCAGGGCCCAGCCCAGGCCCCGGGAGCCGCCTTCCCCGGCGCCGCCCTGCGCCCGGGGAGGAAGGAGCCGCCGCGCCCCGAAGGCCAGGCGGGAGGGGACGTGCCCCCCGGCGAAGCCGTTACCTTTGAAGAGATAGTCGTACTCGTCGTCGCGGGTGCCCATGGTGCCGATGGGGGAGGGGAGCGGAGCCAAGCCGAGCCGAGCCGAGCCGCGCCGCCGCCGGGGACTAAGGAGCCGGACGCACGGCCCCGCCCTGGCGCTGCGGCACTTCCGCTCTGCGCCCCCCACCCGCCTCCTCCAGAGGCACTTCCGCGGTCACCGGGTCGGCGGGGGCGTGGCTGCCCGCACTGCTTCCGGGGCGCGTTCCCCCTCCCCCTCTGCCCGCGCGGGGAGGGGGACGGGGCAGACGCAAGTATACATGCGCAGGGAGCAGGCGCGCGAAGCTCTAGAGGCGGGCGGGGCGGGGTTGTGTTAAGTGGTTCCATGGTGTAATGGTTAGCACTCTGGACTCTGAATCCAGCGATCCGAGTTCAAATCTCGGTGGAACCTGATGTTTTTCCCTCGGTGACTCCCTTCCCCTTCCCCGACGGGGCCGGTTTCTTGCCCGTGCGCGTCGTGCTGCGCAGACTTCCCTCAGCGCGGCGGGGCGAGGGCCGGTGACTGCCCCACGCGCGCGATTCAACCTTTCATTTGACTCCCAGACACGTATAGCTTCCTGCTGGCTGACCCCCCTGGGCCCCCGCGCCCCCCGTCGGTGGCAGCGCGACCCCCCCGGACCCCCTGTGCCCCTCATCAGTGGCAGCGAGCCCCCCCGGACCCCCTCCCCCCGTCGGTGGCAGCGAGACCCCCTGGCCCCCGCGCCGGGTGAACAAGAGCTGCCACGTTTTCAGCTGACCGCCTGCTCCTTCCACGCGGTGCCCCCGGCTCTCGGCTAGTGAGGGGCATCAAGAGTCAACCCCCACTGACTGTGCCTTGTGGACCCTTCTCCCGCCCCCCGAGTGTCCCTGCTCCGAACTGGACGGGCCCTGCCGCCCCGCGGGTCACCCCTTGCCCTGCTCTGCACCCTCTCCAGTTCTTCTGTATCCTTGAGGTGCAGGGACGGGAGCTGAGTGCAGTCAGGGCGTGGACACCATGGATTTAGAAAGGGGCATCACCAGGTGCTTGGCAGAGGGGGCAGACCGTCCCAGGGTGTGCGGGGAGAAAGGGAAGGTCACGGAGCAGAAGACACCAGCATCAGCTAGGGCTAAAATACGCCCAGAAGAAAAATGTAAGTAGAGGAGCAGCCCCTCTTCGCAGAGGACAGTCTATCGTGGTCCCTCTTCCTTATTATTTAGGGTAAGTGTAGCCCGGAGAAGCTGGGCCCGTACGGGCGGGGCACCAGCTAGTCCAGCTCTGCCCCCTTCGGAGATGTGTGACGAAGCAGACGGGACAGGGGTCAGCTGGCTGCAGCCCAAGGAGTGCAGAGCTGGAGGGGTAACGCTGGGGGCTCCTGTCGGCGCGTGGGGCTGAGGGGCTGAAGAGCAGTGGCCGTGGCTGGGGCGTGGTAGGTATGGAAGTTGCCCAGAGAATCGCTGCCTTGAGCGGTGTCAAACTGCGTAGCCAGCTGCAGCGCTGGGGTGAGCAAGCGTGGATTCCTGCCCGTCTGTCTTTCCTCCTGGAGGGCAGAGAGGCCACAGCTGGTCTGTGACGAGCTGTGACGGGGGCACTGGTGGACGGTCCTACATTGAGCTTCCTGGAGAAGAAGGGTTGAATGCTAAAGGAGGAGCAGGAGCAGGGGCTAAAGTAGTGATTCTCAACCAGGGTGCCTTGAGATCCTTACCCGGGTGCCATGGGGCGCCACAGGCTGTTAGCACTGTTAGGTCTGCCAACATGATTCACAAGATAAACCCCGAGTTTTCAGATAGAGGGCCACAGCTGTAGTCTGTTGGGGATCTTTGCAGCAGAATACACTGCTCTGTTATTTTTCTGTAGTCAAAAAAAAGAGTGCAAATGAAGAGCTGGTGTTGGCCAGGGGATGCCTTGAGTCTGCCTCATGTCTAAAAAGGTTGGGAACCACTGGCCTAAAGTGTTACCCTCTCAAGAGTGGGACGGCTGAGGCCTTAGGGAGGTGGTGTGAGCTGGTCTGAGAACTCGGGGACAGCGAGTGGTCC